TATGCACAAACTATGGCCTACACAAGCTGAAGAAACAAATAAAATGAAGGAAGAAAGATCTTAACAAGAAAATTCACTAAAAATATCTTGTGTAGAGGATCATATGTAGTAATCATAGCAAAAGAAAGCATTATTCTAGAGCTTACAATATGAAGAAAAACACTGAAAAAGCAAAGAATGACTCAGACGATGGGGGTTTGCACATATTCAACGTTAATGAAATGCAAGTTGGAATAAATAGTTGGTAAAGCTCTGATTAGCATCAGAAGTGACGACAAGTAGAAAAATAAACAGGAAATTAAATGCAAGACAGTGGAATAATAATAAATGTACCAGGCTTGCACCTTGGAAGAAAAGGAAAAAAATGTTCAATCAGGCAAAGTCAAATGAAAATTACTTTGTAGAATGATGATAATACCCTTTGAGACATTGTGAATTCTAATCAGGATGAAACAGTCAATCTGTTTACTTAGTAGCAAAGCATTTGACTCCTGCACAAGTCCAAGCTGCTGTATGTGTTTGAAGAAAATGAGATGTCATCCCACTATGCTGTACGTACAACAGGTGAAAGTAATTCAGCCAGTGCAGCATCTGCTTTACACAGTTGCTAGCATTAGAATAAGGAATAACTTTAACACTGAAATAGAAAAATAAAGCATCATTAATAATTTCACATAATCTACAAGTTACATAAGCAGCATGCTAGGCATAGGAAAAGCAGATTTTGACGAGGCCTATTCAGCCTTCCTGGATGAGCAAGGTAGCCATTTTAGCGTATACTGATACCAACATGTAGGTTTAGGTGTTGAGAAGTGTTAGAAGTGAATTTTGCAGCAGAATATCTGCTCTGCCAGCCAGCCTCACAAGTCATCATCACCTGATGATATTCAGGAATGTGATGTAAAGAATCTTTCCTGTTAGAAACTGTGGTCATTCATCAGAATCAACACTGTTTTTATTAGTAGATAAAATTCAATGCAAACAAAAATAAGAGGAGATTGTTTTCTACTTCAGAATCATAAACGGAGAAGGAAACCAAGGAAACACAGTGGTTATGAGAAAGTAAAAGTAGATTGTTCCGTGCCTACCCTTACAGCTATTAACTCGGGTAGTATTGGATTTTAGTAGATTATCTTATCATATCTCTCTGAGACATAAACAAAGCATTGAGACCGTAATGGAGAAAGAGGGAACACAAGCATGCTATACGTGCACAACTGGTGACCTTACAGGTTGATCCAGTGAGGCAAGACTGGCAGCACTGTTATTATAAAAGAGACCTCTGGTAATTTTTGTCTCACCAAGAAAACAAAAAGGTTGGCAAGGGTTGTGCAATGTTTCCACAGTGAAAAGTTTAAATTCTCTGATGGGGAAAACAAATTTCCAAAAAGAAAAATCTCAAAAACAAATAATTTGAAAAATCATTGCTACTCCCAAATATCAGCAGCATACGATACCGAAACATTAACATTTGAATTTATTTAACAACTTCAAGAAGAACCACTGAGCAAAGCTGACTCCTTATTGAGAGCAGCCTTGTACCAGAAAAACAAGGTGACTAAATCATAACACAAGAAACATAGTATTACCACAGAACTGGAGAAATAGGAGAAGCACACAAAGTATTCTTCAAACAGTGACAGTCTATGCTAGTTTCAAGAGTGTTGGAAAAGGATGTGAGAATAAAAAGCGCAAGATAAAGATGAGCTCATGTTCACATCCATCAGCCTGCCAAAATGGTCTAAGACCAGAAGAATGGCCCTGTGTGCTTCCCAGGAATGACAGAACTGTCAAGGCAAATGGAACATAAGATTATATACAGGCAAATGAGTCATAATTACCCACAACACTGAGAATAGAAACTCAGAGGAATGAAGGTTCAGTTTGGGAAAGATGTAGCTAAACAGAGTAGGAAACACCGCATAGTGAGAAGATGAGATAGAACATGAATAATCATCATAGGCGGGAGAAATTCTAGTACTTGTGGCAAAATAGAACAGAAGTATATAGGGTCTTCAACAGGCATTAAAGCAAACTAAATAACAGTTTCTTTCCAAAGGAAAACAAAAGAGGGAAACATATTTTAGTATTACAGGCGGCTAGTCAGACTTTTAGGAACCAGGCAGAATGTCAGAAGCTTCCACAGCACTCACTGAGGACATAGCAGTGAAGTGTTTAAGCATTCCTGAACTACGTAGTTCCAATCACGAGATCTCAGTTTACTTTAAATTAGATAATATATTTTTTTGAGAACAAGAATTTGATTTCATCTGACTATCCCTTATGATAGTGAGGCAAGTAAGTAGCAAAGCTGAGTTTGCTATAGAGTTTGCAGAGAGTTTTAAAATGCTGTAAACAGCAAAGAGAATATTTAGCATTCCATTCCTTAATACTGAAAATATTCCCACAGAAAAGTTTACTGCAGCTGAGTACAGTGCTTGAAGTCATGTTCAGTAACCAGCAGTGGAAACAGTAACAGATGAAAACAGTAGGAAAAGGGCCAATGGTAAGCGTTGCAGAATTACAGCTCTGATTTATATTTGTATACAGGTTAATTATTCAAGATAATTCTTATACAGGAAGCAAGCGACATTTTTGAAGGGATAATTCCCAATTCTTAAACCAAAGGGATTCTTTTAACAAAGAGAAGAAATCCCAACCTGGAGTATTTTGAAATGATGCATCTGGATGATGAGAAAGATACAACTGTGTAATGAAGTGTTTATCAGTAGCACACATACACACACGCACACACCATAAAAATAAATAGGTTCTAGCTAAGAGGAACTGGAAAAATGGGAGGTATGAATCAACAAGTCCCCTTAGTCTGCTTTTAATTGTGCTGAACATTCTTCATTATAGACTTTCAAATTAAATGGTCTTTATGAATCTCCGCCTTGTTATTAAAGCATCTTGTTTGTGTTTCTCTGTGCTCAGTATTGCCATGGCCACTGTTACACGAAGATTTCAAAAGACTGTTAAAGTTCATACTTCCTCATTCTCAAAAAATGACAGAATTATCTCCCTTACATAAAAACCCAGTCCCAACCTGGATTAATTTAGCAGAAAGCTGTGCACAGGACAAAATATTAGATTTTTTAAAGGAAAGGCAGTAACTTGATTGCTATTATGTCCTGTTAGGCAGGGACAATTCAATTAAGACTGCATCACGCTGCTGTTGGAACTGGTTATGTGCTTGAGCTAATGTTCTGCTCCTTCTGATTTATATCGGTCACCTTCATCAACGCTAGAGACAGTGTATACAGCTTTCAAAAATCTAAATAAATCCCTCTTCAAAGCTTACTTTCATTGTGTCAACTAAAGGAAACTAGGTGACTTCTATTTATATATTCACTTTATTTCTACTCATTTATATTAAAAAAAGAACTGGACAGTTTCAAAGCTGTGGCTTTGTTGGTAGTCAACTTGCTGAAATCATGCTGCAAAATGGGACAGGATCTGAGATTACTGAGAAATGAGCAATTTTGTTGCACACAGTATTTTTCAGCACTTGCCAGCTCAGTAATTTCAATAGAATGGCAAAAATCTTGTCTGTATTCAGCACTGACCCCACACCAATTTGTGGACTCCCTACCAAACCCATTAAAAGCTGAACAGTGACAAAAGTATTGGTGAGCTGGGGCCTGGAGCATCTTCCTTATGAGGAAAAAGCTTGAGAGACCTGGGACTGTTCAGTCTAGAGAAGACTGAGGAGGAATCTTATCAATGCTTGTAAGTATCTAATGGGTGGGAATCAAGTGGATGGGGCCAGGCTCTTTTCAGCACTGCCCAGTGACAGTACAAGGGGCAGTGGGCGCAATCTGGGACACAGGAAGAACTTCTTTACCGTGAGGCAGGCATAGCACTGCAACAGGCTGCCCAGAGAGCTCGTGGAGTCTCCTTCTCTGGAGATATTCAGAACTGTACTAAATGCTTTTCTGTACAGCCCACTGTAGGGACCTCCTGTAGCAGTGGGATGCACTTGAAGGTCTCCAGAGGTCTCTGTGATTGTGATTCTGTGAATGATGCTTGATTTCCTTCAGGTTTTCCTTTGCGCCTACAGCTCTGCTGCTGGAAGGATGAAGCCCAGCTGGCACACAGCGCTCAGCTCTGCTGCCATCCTAAAAGATCTCTCCCTAGTAGGGTGGTCTTTGACTTCTATTTTAGCAGTGTTAGGGGTGAGGTTACACTCACACTGAAGCCTTTCCCGTATGAAGTCCCAAGTCCACCATCATCCAGCCTACAAACACAAAACCCTTCCTGACAACGACGCTGTATCTTTTCTTTTATGAAACCACGTGGCAATGGACTTATGGGCTTAAAAATGTTAGGAGGTAATGGACGTTTTAAGGGCTAAGTTTTGTCGTAAGAGCGAATCCATCTGCTGGGCGATTCCCGTGACGGCAGCGCCCACTCTGGAACGGAGCGCTTTCAACGCCGTAATGGCGGATCGCCCTTCCAGAGGAGCGCGCCGAATAACTGCTCGAGCCGCCGCAGCCCCCCACCGTTAGGGCGGGCCTGCAGGTTGCCCGGCAACCGGGCGGCGCCTCCTTCACTCCCCGCGTGGACCCGCTGCGGCCCAATAGCGGCCGCGGCGTCCGGCCCTGTCTCCTGGAGACGGGGTCACGGCGGCGACCACCGGAGTGGTGCGCGGGGGAGAGACGGCAGGCCTTCCTGGCGCTCTGCGGCGTTTCCCTTATCGAATAAGAAAAATAAAAGCCATCTTCCCGAGTCACGCCGTGTGCTGTGCTGGTTCTTCTCCTTCTGACTCTTTCTTTTAGGTGCGTGGCGCTGGGTTCCCCGTCGGGACACATCTACGTCCCCCCACGGCGGAGCGTGCGGCGCTCCACCGGGTTCAGTTGATGGCGGCTTCCTTCTTGCGGTCACGGCCGTTGTCGCCTCGCAGTCGTCCAGTAGCTGCCTGCCTTCCCGCTGCCGCCGGGCCCGCAGCTCCCAGGTGTGATCGCGGCGGCCCGCTGTGCCATATCCCCGTTCGGTACCCCGGCTGAAGGCCTGCCGGTGGGGACGGCTGCTCTCTTCCCGGTAGCCTCTCGCAGAGCTGCCGGTTGAGACCTTATCTGCAGGTACAGCCTGTCTAGAGGTATTGGTCACGGGGGTGAGCAGTGAGGTGACAATCTGCTGCTCTGGCACCTTTGTGAAGCAGAGGAAGATGTTACTTTTTCCGGTCTTTGTTCAAGCTCTCGAGAAGAACATAAGGGATACTTCACTGGCCGGAAAGTAGACCCACATCCGCTCCTGTCTTTGTGCCTTGTTTGGCAAACTGATCATTGCATAATTGACCATCTGTTTTCACAGTTAACCGGAGGAAAAAGATGTTCCTTCTAAGGTTATGCTGGCTATGCCTACCTCTTTGCTTACTGTGAGGCAAAATCAAGTTAATTTACATTTGGCATTTGTTGGTGTGTTTATTGGGGTGTAGGTGTATGTGTTGCAGAGGTGTTTCACAAAATGTTCTGTCTAAAGATTTGGGAATTCTCTGGTCTCATTTGGCATTTAGTTTGTCATTTGAGCTTTGTGTCTCAAGAAAGGTAGTGAAACTGAGTTTGTGGCTTGTAATCAGCACAGTTTAAGCAGCCTTCCTCTCTATCCTTGTTGCTGTACTATCCTCTGTTTTTTTTCTGTAGTTGTCAGGTAACTATATTGAGAACTGGTCGTGTTGAAAGGAAAACAACAGTCCACAAACAAAATGAAAGAAGTTGGTGTTAAGATGAGAACGAGCAACTCCAAATGGCTGTGAAATATTTCAGTTGTTAGTTGAAAGAACTGGGCACTGAATGTGGAGTTGGTTTGGAACTGGAAGAACTTACTAGAAGGTGCTGGTTGTGTACTAGGTAGCAATATATTCTGATTTTGGAACATTTGTAACAAATGGCAATGGTTTAATTTGTTTCACTATGTAAATTAAACCATTTAATAATAATATAATGTATAATGTATAATATAATATAATATTCAATATAATAATAATAATAACCATTTAATAATAATTCAATAATAAAATTATTGAGATAAAAAATAGTAGTTATAAGATAAACTAAAATTTTCTTGTGGAACTCTTTGACTCCCACAGTTGGGGAGTCAAAATGGATTGTTTCCATCCATGAAAAAAATTTCTAATGCTAACTCCTATAACTGGTAAAGCTACAGGCATCTTAGTGTTGTTAGGAATGCTAATCCCTGTGGGGTTCTTTTTCTTTCTTTTTCTAGTTATGCTGATTAGATCAGTTATTTATCAGGCTTAAATTACAGGGTAAAAAGTTGCAGAGGAAATCTGCCTGGTGTGCCCTTAAGCAGAAAAATGGCAACTTTACTTGGTAAGGATTTCAGTTTAGAATAATTTCCTGTATCCAGCATTTTTATGCAGAACTTAAAATTTTAAGTTTGGTAGCATGATTTTTATTTACAGATAAAATATTTAGAATCTGTAGTTACTGGTTCACCTGTAACTTGTGGAATGTGTGAAGAGCTTTCCAAGTGGAAAATAGTTACCCATTCAAAATTTTGTTCACATTTCCCAAGGTGATCTTTGAAATACTTAGATCCTTCCAGCAAGATGAAACATAATTTCTATTTTTTAAGAATTGGGAGAGTAAATGTGATACATTAATGATTTTTAAATTTGATTGCTTCCTCTCTCTCCCTTCTTCCTTTAAAGGTTTATCTGACTAAGAAAATACCATGTTTCCAATCCCTTACCAGTGAAGCATCCTTAAGTATGGAGAACTTCATTCTTTATGAAGAGATAGGAAGAGGAAACAAGACCATCGTTTATAAAGGAAGAAGAAAGGGGACAATTAATTTTGTTGCCATTCTTTGCACTGATAAATGCAAAAGAGCTGAAATAACAAACTGGGTAAGTAAGACTTTTCCTGCTAAGTTTGGGAAAAGATCAAACTTAAATAAATAAATCCTTGCTGCAGAAAGAAAAACGCTGAATGCTGAAGTGTTTATTTCTATCACCTAGCAGTGTTCTTGTTTAAATCATATGCATAATCTCAGTTTTACAGGCTTACTGGTTCTATGATATGTTAACGTACCTTTTATAAAAATAAGTGTTTGTGTAGTGGTTGACTTTATTTTTCTGAGTTATATAAATCCAGTCCTAGTAGTGCATTCCAGTAAATAATAATTTCCTTCCTATTAAGAAGAAATTACTTTTTATGAAAGAACAGTATTTTAAGTAGATAAATTTTTGTTTGCAAAAGGTTGGCAAAGTTTTAAACATTTGCTTTCTGGATAAGAAATGAAAACTGGTATAGTTAAACATTTCAAATATTTCATTTTTCCAGTTGACACATTTTGTTTAATATTCCCTCTCATTGCTTTTGTGACTCATAAATCTTCTCCACTCAAATCTTTTTTCCCTTCAAAGCATATTCCTCTCAGAAAGTACCTCGCATATGGCTCTGACAGGATTCAGAGATTTCTGTAGACATGAGGCTAGGTGTGGTAGAAATAGTGACTTTCCGAGACCCTGAGTGATTGCTTCTGCTTGATAAGACTGAGGGGGGAAAACTCTTTATTTCTCCTTATTATATTTACCATATTTTCTCGCAATTGTGTTCTCACTGAAAAAGAAAGTAGATCTCCAAGTTTGACTCCAAATTCTCATTTACAGTCTGTTAGTAGAGATGCAAAAGAGTTAAACAGTGCTTATAAATCAGTAATATCTCTGTTTCATTGGTTGGGAAACTTTCTCATATTGCTGGAAAAAGTTCAGTAGGCCAAGGGCTAAGAGGAAAGTTTTCTGTTATCAACTTACACGTAAAATTAATTTGAATTGGAGATTAATTTTTAACTATTTAGTGTACTGGACTAGGCACAGGAATGAGTAGATGATCCAGCATAAAGCTGTGTTGTCTCCAATCCTCCTCCAATCCATATATATAAAGATATTTTTTTCCCATTAATAATGTTAAGAACTTTGTTTTAGGTTCGTCTGACTCATGAAATCAGACACAAGAACATAGTGACATTTCACGAATGGTATGAAACAAGCAACCACCTCTGGCTTGTAATGGAGTTATGCACAGGTAAAAAGCTCAGATGGACAAAAATAAATAAATCTCTATATAGTACAGATATTTGTAATATTTTTTTAATAATAAATGTTTCTCACAAAAATACTTCTCTCAGTCTTCAAGAAAAGTTAAATTAGTAATCAGGTTGTACGTATGTATGTATGATTAAAAATGTTGGGTTTTAAAACATTTTTAGAAGTCCACTGAACTCATATTTCTCTTCTAGTTCACAATGTATGTGAAATACTAATTTAGGTGACATAATGTTAGCTTCTCATAGCTAGGGGAACTTAAAAACAAATTGTGAGTAATTGGAGTGTAGTTATCTAAAATTTATTTAAGCAAAGATTTATGTTAAGACATTAATTTGGGAACACTGAGAACCCAAAACTGTATTAAGTAATTAATGGAATTTTGGTAGATTAACATCAATCTTCTAAAGAAGTCTTTTAATGCTTTCTCCAATTATGACTATGTTTTAAGCAGATGATAGTAAGCATGATTTCCTCCATGTGCAAAGGAAAGGTGATTGTGCAAGTGAGGCATTTTAATGTTTTGATACAGAGAGTTGTTTCATAGTAAGAGCCAATATTACAAACTGCTTTTTTTTTTTTTTTCCTTTTTTTTTCTTTTTTTTTCCTACTTAGAATTATTGGAGAAGCTGTAAGTCCTGAAAAATAATCTGGTCATTCTTTCTTTAATTATTAGAATTAAAGTTAGGCCTTGTCTATTTGCCTAGTCTAACAAATTGACATGTATGTAATTTATTAGGCAGGCAGCCTATTGTTAAGAACAGTTAAAGCAATTTTTTGTGTATCTTGCACTATTGCAACATGGGAATAAAGTTCTTAAAGACCCAAGAGTGGACTGACTAAGAAGTTTATCATAACTAAAAATACAGTAATTTCAAATAAAAGCAGTCAGGGATTGTGAAGAACTGTCAGAATCCCCAGTTCTGACCCAGGATAACACTGGATGTCCTACTGCTACCGGCCATCCAAGAGCCATCTCTCCACAGTGTGAACAATGGCAGTTAGCAAGCAACTTATGGAGTCCATCTCTCCCAGACATGGGTACTTGTCCTTGTTAGCCTGTGAATGGTTGAGTGGAGTTCATCTCTCCCAAGGGTGGATGCCTGGCTTTTTTAACAACTATGTGACCTTTTCCTCACTTCTCTTTTCTTTGAAACACCGTAGGAGTTGGGTCTCTGCAATCACTTGGCATAAAGCAGGACAGTAGAGGGATAAAAAGCTGCCTGAATGTTCTCTCACTGTGGTCATAGTTAATAAAGCTTCTGTCTGACCTGCCTCAAATTGTACTTGTGCCATTGTGCACTTGGAAATGCTGTGTTCACAGCAGTTAGTTTCAAGGCATTCTTAGCAGCAGATGTACTTGTGAATAGGATGAGAGTTGAATTTCATGCTAATTTTGTAGAGCAACACTTTTATGTTGCTGATTTCATTATAAATTTTTCCTGTTATATCTGTATAGCCATCTAAAATACATTATAAAAGTGCTAAAATGTTGGAAAATTCTTTACTACATCATATATTCTGAGGCTGGTTCTAAAGGTAAGACTGATTTTTATAAGCAACGTAAAGACTGAGAGCAACTGTAAGATTCAACATCATTGAGTAATTTGGAGAACAGTGATAAACCTGAGCATCTCAGTATTCTCTGAAATCAATCAGTAAGCAAAGGGGAAAAAAAAAAAAGCTCAGGAAAATATTGTGTAGTTTGAAATAAAATATTTATTATCCTTCTCCATGGACCCTGGGATCCTGGGATTTTACTATTTTTATTGTCTATGAATTCAGTGGGAAATTCCACATCATTGCTTGTTCACAGACACTGATAGCCTGATCTTGGTACTGCTTCGTCTCATGCGGAAGGATCTGAATAAACCCACTGGGTTACTATTGCGTTGTGACAGTATGAGTTTCATGTTTTCCTTTCTGCCTCCTTTGTAAAATAAATCAATATGAAAGTGTTTTTAAAAGTCATGCCCTCAATTTAATTGCAGTGAAAGTTTATATCCCAATCTCAGAAGTAGATTTTTCTTTTCTATACATTTTCATATTTTTAATGTGTATCGGTAATGATTTTTTACTTGACAGTTTTGGAAGACTTTCATCATGTCATTGTGCATGTAAAGCAAATGCCATGCAAGTAATTCCTTTGCTGACCATGTGTACACATATTTCAGGTGGTTCACTAGAATCAGTTATTGCCCAAGATGAACATCTACCTGAAGAAGTAGTGAGAGAATTTGGTGTAGATTTGATTACCGGTTTACACCACATTCATAACCTTGGGATTATCTTTTGTGAGCTGACACCTGGAAAGGTAACAAGGAGTATTATTTGTAGTGGATATCACATATTACTTTGTATGCAATCAACATTTTATTCATATTATACTGTATTTGAGAGAATTACCTAATATTGGAAGCCAGTTGCATAACAGTAATTCTATTGTTGGTCTTGATTTGTAAGAGGTTGAGTTGCCCTTTTGAGTTTTCTGTAGGACTTGCGCATTCATGCTTGGTTTCTGTTATTTGTGGGTAAAAGAGCAATAAATAGAAGTGAATATATAAGTAAAGCATAATGGAAATGCCTCTGTATTTTTCTGAAGAAGAATGTGTTTAAAAAAAAAAAAAAGTAAAGACTGTAAAGTACTCTTTTGAACACAGAATACAGAGTGGAAAAAGTAAGATCCTCCCCTACCCTTTTCCCAGCCTCCCCCCCAGCCCATAAAAAAAAAAAATCAAAACCACTTTTTTTTTTTTACCTAAAATGAATGAATGTTCCTTTTACTATCCTTTTACTTTAAACACATTTTTACTTTCTTTTCTACAGTAGCATCATTCATCATCATTCATATTAGCTTAATGATGAGCCAACAAAAATGTGAATGGAACCATTAATGTTGTGTCGTCACCTTACGTGATTTTTTTGGTTACAAGAAAAAAAGTGATTTGTTTTGACATAAATTTGTCAATGCTTTTAGATATGATAGTTATCATCTCTATTTACTTAAATGATTAAATTATTGTGATTTAATATAGTTTGTATTGGAAATTAGCGCAGTCTCCAGTGTTAATATCTGCTATGCTGGATTATGTTTATTCCTCTAGATTCTGCTGGAAGGGCCCGGCACTTTGAAGTTCAGTAACTTTTGCTTGGCTAAAGCAGATGGAGAAAACTTGGAAGAATTTTTCGCTTTAGTTGGGTCTGAAGAAACAGGAAGAGATGTTGTTGAAAGCACTCCACAAAGACACCTGAAAAACAGACTTCGAGGTAGGATATTTTTACCAGCTAAAATTAAGCTAAACAGACAGAATGAAAGTGGGAAAAGACTGTTGTTATGCATGATTTTTGAGACTCGAAGAAGGCAGTTGATCAAAATTCTGATGTGGCTTACTAAATTCCTAGAGAAACAGAATAATTCTGCTATGTCAACATCTGTAAATAATGGCCTCTTTGTGTGATATGCAAGTTTTCTTTGAGTAGATTTTGCGTATTCTCCATGGAGGGAATTTTTTTTTTCCCAGGTAGGCTCAGAACGAAAATTTTGCTGTTAAGGAAAATTGTTAAGATGGATTGTAAGACACAGAGGGAACAACACCTGCAAGTGAAGAAGAAGAACAGAAACTGTTTAGAAATACATAGTCATAATTCTAAAGAGAGTATAAACACTGGAAAAATGTACTTTTGTCATGGAATTTTTGATAGATTAACAGTTGCTTACCTCTCTGTCTTGTTCTAAATAGACTTCATGTTATTTTTGATTTGAAGCTTATATGTAGGCAATTATAAAAATACTGTAGTATGTAAGATTTCCACATAACTGGATTATTTTGAATTGCGTTTTGCAATTGGCATCCCATACCATCTAATGCACAAACTGCCTTTCTATCCTGAGCAAATATCATATATGGATGTGATCTGAAACTGCTCAAAGTAGTTAGTGAATTGAAAATGCTAATTCTTCATTTGGGTTTGCTAAGGGGGCTTAAGTAATTAGCTTTTTAATGATAACTGATGTGGATGTAAAAAAAAAAAAAATATCTGTGAAATACCTTTGGTCCTTGATGCATTTCACATATTACCAATTAAGTATTAGAACTATAAAAATAAGAAAATCACTGAAGCTTCAGAAATGCTGAGTCTTAACTGATTTTCCTAATTGACAAAATTATAATTTTACTACTTATCGTATATGAAAACAGTATGTGCTGCAGATGGTCTCTCTAGGGTCTAGGGCTAATTTCCATTAAATTTATATTAAATGTATGCACAGTTCAGTAAGTATGATACTGAATTGCTTCTACTTTGATTAGAGATTTTGTATCCATTTAACAATAGTTTAGAGAATGGCTTTTGTGGTTTTTGATACAAGATTTTCACCGTAGTTTTTGCTTCAAGTGGTCTGTGTAATTTCCAGTATGATGATTAGTTGTTTCAGTACCATTTACATGAGAAAGATTGTTTACTTTTGAAGCATGAAGAAGCTGTTAGTGTGCTTCAATTTCTGCAGAAAAATCCATGCAAATCCAATGGGCTACAACTGCTGTGCTACATTTTCATCAAATAAGAAAGCTTTAGAATTTTGGCTTTCCTTTTCAGAATCTTTCAATAGTTTGTGTCTAGGAGCATCTCAGAGACCTCTGTTTCTCTGATAATGGGGCATCACTGCAGTTGCTATCATCTGGAACAATGGAAATCTTGGCAATGTGTTATGGGAACAAAGAGCTTTCTTAGTACTTTAGCACCTACTGCAATTATGAAGGCCAAGAACAGGATGTGTTTGTTTTTTTTTTCCAGAAAGAAATGTAAATGTAATCTCTTTCCTGTTACCGTCTAAATCAGCTTTTTCTTTTTTTTTCTTCTTTTTTTTTTAAAATGTATATTTAATAACCTGTTGTCACTTAAAATAAATAAAATGGAAAGCAAAATCCAAAATAAGCTTCTTAAAGGATTATGGAATTTACGTTTTTGCTGAGATTTTGTAATTTTCAGGGAGGTTTTGGAGAAACTAGTAGTATTTAGGATAGGCATAACTAGATCAGTGATCTGATTTATGGATCTTGTTTATTGTAACAGTTTTCTAATTTCATGTGAGTTAAAGTCTTAGGATAGCTCTCTTTTTAATAAATGTAAAACCTGATGTAGCCTAATAATTTTTATTAATCACATGAGATTTATATTGGTTTAACATACTCAGTTGTCTTGGCTGTGGAAGCTGTCAAGATAAATTAAATTAAAAAAAAAAAAAACAACTTCTTGCATTAATCACGTTAGAGAAGTATAAGCGCAAATGGAAGTGAAGTAAACAAGAAAATGGCTCCTGCAATCCTACATAATTCAATAAAAAAAGGAGGAAAATATTCTTTTCAAATTCCATTTGGTATCTCATGTTTCATACCTCTAAGTGAGGATTCCTATGCTTCAGTGAGTTAGAGATTAAGTTTTAGGTGTTCTACAGGACTGATGTTCAATCGAGTGTATTTGTATGGTATTTTGTAGGCTCTCCATTATACACAGCTCCAGAAGTAATAAAGGGAGAAGACTTCTCCAAGTCCAGTGATCTGTGGTCCTTAGGATGTTTACTTTATGAAATGTTCTCAGGTTGTAAGTTTGTGTATTTCTTTGATATCTGTGATAACGAAAACCTACTTTGTGATCCCAATTTGAATTCTTGTTTATTTTTTAAGGAAGTAAAAAGAGAGAAAGATATATTTAAGAGAGGTAATAAAAATTTCTTGAAGAATACATTAAATATGCTTAAGAAAAACAACTTGTCAAGCAATCAGCTGAAGTAATACTGCTAAATTATACTTCTGCCTGAATTCCAAATGTAATGATATTAACGAACCCAAATCCCTCAAATACTATGATTTGAAAATGTAGCAGTACTTGTTTGGACAACGTAATGTTCTTAATCTCCTCAGTATTAAACTCTGGATGCATTAATTTGACTTCGGAGGGAGAAAAATTTAACTAGTTTAAAACTGGTCATTGGCTTTCCTGCAGATAAAGTTAGCATTGCCTGCAGCTGGAAGGAAATTTTCAATGCAAAAGAATTACAGTGCAGTAGTCTGAAGTCTTAGACAATACACAGATCTGTCAGATTGGCATACTGTGCTCTTCCCTTCTCCAGCTGCTATGTCATTGTGGATTCTTTCAGAGCATTCATGAGGGCCTACCTCAAGCTGTCTTTAGAACATGTTCTGTCCTTGGTCTCTTTGGCGGTTCGCGGTAGAAGAATATAATCCAAGGATTTATTTTTAAGTGAACCTTTAAATTCAAATCAAGGATGCTTATTGCTTTGAATATTTCCTTAGGAAAATGAGCTTATTGTATATAATTGCACCTGACAGCCATTTTAAAATTTGCATAACTGAAAAAATAAACTTCCATTTATTTTAGGAAGACCACCATTCTTCTCAGAGAACTTTTCAGAATTAATTGAAAAGATTTTATATGAAGATCCACTGCCACCGAGGCCCAAGGGTAACGTTCTTCTCTTGTTAAATGTGTCAAATTGAATCAATAGTAACAAAGTTTTGCTTTGCAGTGTTTATTCTGAGGCTGATTGCAGGAATTGTTTTGCTGTCCAAAGCGAATGTTACCATTGCCATTCCTTTGCTATGAACATCTTCCATTAGTGATGAATGCTTATATCTCTGTTGATAAAACATGTGTATCATTTAGTGTTAAGAATTAAATGGAATGGATGGAATTTTTGAACTTTGTCATTCAAGGCATCGGTGGTATTCATGGAGACACCTCGTTAGTTTCTAATTTCAGTTCAAACTGATACAGTAGAAAGGTGACCTATTGAGTTACAACTATTACTTGTTTCAATTGTAAGGGAAACTTTATTTTTGAAGCAAATAGAACGATTGTATTGCATGATTTTGAGCTCTCAGAAGCAGTCTTTCTCAGTTAACTGAGAATTCTGGAAACCTCTTGTGTAATAAGATGCAATAATAGTACTCTTAAAACTACCACAGCCAGGGTAAATTTCAATTAGCACAATTTTCAACTCTACTTTATTTTCATCTAATAGTTATATTATAATGGGAAGGTTCATATTTTTATATGAAATATAAAAGAATATGAATTTGTGAATTTATAGGAATATAATAATAAATGTATGTTATTATTTTAGATTAGCTTGACCAAGTATTGATTTTTATCATCTCTTTGAAGATCATTTTAATACAAGACTTTATATTTAGTATTTTTTATGCATTTTTTTTTCAGATGAAATTGGTGTTAAATAGAACTGCTTTAATGTTTTGATTCAGATAATGATTTGATTTACTTACTGTCACAGTTGATTCTGTTGTCCAGTTCTTTTTAAGTTCTTCTATTTTCAGATTCTGCTTTTCAGAAACCTTCTGCAGAGTTCATCAGCTTACTTGATGGATTGCTTCAAAAGGATCCTCAGAAGAGGTAAACCTGTTGGTTGCATTGCCTTTTTCACATCTGGAAAAAAATAATAACTATGATAATATCTGGTGACAATGAAAAAATAATTTTCTCCTTCATAAAAGAAGAAATAGTGCATTTTCTCATGCAAACTTTATTTAATCAAAATATTAATTCTGCATAGTTTTCTTCTTTTGTATGTGGTGTTAAATAGGTAACTGTTTAACAGGATGTTAGCTTTTCAAATTGGATGGCTTCAGTTTTCCAGAGCAATGGGCATATCTTTTATAAGACTTTAATTTATAGATGTTACGCTTATATTTTTGTATAACATAATTATTTATAGAGTAATGTAAATAATGGGACTGGTTAAACTGTGTACTTAATCTTTAATCTCACCTCTCTGTGTTGTGTGAATGATCCATTTCAATTTTAGGCAAAACATTTCCTCTATAAGGTAACTTATTTGTTCACCACATACCAACTAAGAACAGTAACAGTTGCTTCATAGCACCACTGGATTCAGAACGTAGCCTGATAAGCTTTTGTAGCTGTACTTTGCCACTGCTTTTTCAGTTTGTCTATTGCTTCTCAAAAGGCTCAACTGGACAGACATATTGCAACATCCATTCTGGAAAGACTCCCTTAGCCATTGTGACGGCGATTCTTCAGACAGCCAGGGCTCAAGGTACTTCATGTTTTAGCAGATGTCTTTCTGTGGTACATATGAACAAATAAATAAATCAATATTACAGATTTAAAATATTTTTCTGCGAATTTTTCAGTCTTTGAATTTTGCTTAGGAGTTTAATTTTGTTAAGTAATTGCTGAGTTAAGTTTTACACCATCCAGTGAGCAGTTTGGGGTGCTTAGGTATTACAGTATCCTATCAGTGTAACCGTATCTGTTTGCTTTCTGTAGACTCATTTCTTCTAGCTACAGAATGCTATTTTTTTTGTTTATATAACAATGATGAACAGTAATTTGACTTACAGTACTGTCCTTCAGAAGCATTATTAGCACCTCATACATGAGTCAATTTCATCTTTATGTAAGTTTGTTTGTTCTTATGCATTAACATCAAGTCTTCAAAAAATCTATCAGCACATCATCTTAGGTTTTGTTAGCCTTGTGAATGTAGTTGACCCATATTCTTTGTTTATAGCATAAAGCATTTATCTAATGTTTTTATATTTAAATGTTAAATACTCTGCATTCCTATATAGGCAGAAACACCCAGTCCTTTTGTGAAAATAGGCTCTATTCACTGAAAACTTAGGTTTCTTCCAGATGTCTGTTAATATTGCTGTTTTTAATTTCTTAATTTCCATTTAGAGTTGTTTGTTTGTTTGTTTTTAAACAATCTGTTGTTCTAAATATTTGAATGCTATTTCAGGTTGCATTCAGGGAACAAGTATGGAAATAGCTTTATTTTAGAACGCCACATGCTTCTGTGTTTTATCTATTTTTACATTCTATCTCACATTGTTGAAATACCTATTTCTGGAACCAGGGCTGCAGTATTTTTTGTTACTAATGTCTGTTCTAGTTTAATATGCTGCTCTTTGTCTTTTAATTTTATTACTACTTTTACCACCAGGGCAAATAATTGAGATTGTGAGTTTCTATCTCAAAATCAGAATTTATTCACAATATTAGTGAGACTTAGATCCACCTTTACCATATTGTATGTCTGAGCAATTTCTTGGAGAATCAGAATAATAATTACCCACAGAATATTGGACTTCTTGACTTTACTTACTTGAGTCTTCTAATGATTCTGAAATTTTCACTAAGGCAGTAATTGGCACACATGAAGAACCAAGGACATGGTCCTGACATGCAAAAGAAGATCTGTACTTCTTCCTTTCAAAATGTGAGCTCCACAGGCGAGGTTTATTTGAACCAGTTCCGGGTGAACAGTACAGGGAAATACAGAAGCAAAAGTGAAAAACTTGCTATTAAGGAAAAAAAAAAAAAAAAAGTCTTTATTGATCTTAATGCTTGATACAGGCTTTGATATTGAAAGTAAATTGGTTGTAAATTTTTTCTCTGAAGATTGAGCAATCTCTGAAACTTACGAAATTATCCTTGTGTATTCCAGGGTATAAATTTATTCCAAATTTCTCCAATGCCAGTTGTACTAAGGGAGCTAGAGAGTTCTTCAATATTTTCCAAGTTGCTCGCTCAAAAACAGCTTTTATTCATTGCCATTACCAATATAAAAAGTATTTGTAGCTCATATTGCAATAGGAGGGTGATCTATGAGAATGACAGCTAAATTGCATGTTAATAGTTGCAATAAGTAATGGATACGATCAATCTGATCTCTTTTAAATCTTTTTAATTAATATTTCTTATTAAACAGCAATGAACACTTGGAGTCATGGAATACCAAGGGGCCAGAAGATGCTTGTAAAAACCTATCATCTTCAAGAGCAGATAATAAGCTACCAAGCAATTCTTTTAAAATAGGTAATATTCATTATGTTATTTTGAATTATTTTGTTGGTCTCACCACATGCTTCTTCCTTGTGTTTTGTTTATCTGAACATTTAGATTCAAGTTTGTTCTTTTTCCAGTAGAAAATCCGACTGAATTGCGCCCCAAAAATGCAGATGGTGGATCAAATGAATCCATATTTCTTCTGAGGTATGAAAATCAAAACAACAGTCAGAAAACCCTTGAAAGTCCTCTCAAAATATGAAAATATTTATATGAAAATAAATAAAAACCCTGAACCAACAAACAAAACCCCACAACAGTGGCCTGCAGTGAGACTTAATCTGTATTCTGTTTCTTTTGAAGTTCTCGTCCTACTCCTAGAACCAGCACTGCAGTACAAGTAACTGATGTTACTATTGCTCCAATCCAAAATTCTCCACAAAAGGATTCAAGCACGACAAGGGTGAGTAGAAAAACTAATAATAAGAGGCAGTGATATAGTCAAGATCTTAGCATGGAGACTACATCTACATAGACTACACCTTTGTTTCTCAATCTGTAATTGTAACAGAAAAGTAGTTCCTCCAGTAGTAATTCCTTTAGTGTGTAAAAATATTGAAGGAAAAAAAAAAAGTAAAAGTAAATATTTGCAAAGCTTCCAGCGTAGGAATCAAATAAGATGTTTTGTCCCCCTTTAATTCAATGCATAAAAGAGAGAGGGACTATCTTTTTTTTTTTTTTTTTTAATCCATCTACATTTTGAACTTAAGTTCAAGTTTTTGTTTGTTTGTTTTTTAGAGTTTTGTCTTTCTATTTGCATACATATTTTTCATAATTTTTAATTGCAAAGTCTAGGCTCTATCAATAACTACACAATTAAAAAGCAATTTAGAATATATTATTTACATGACCAAACTCTGTGGCATAACATTGAAGTGAAACATTATGGGAGTAAGTATAAATTTTCTTCTTTTGTGCAAAACGGTATTTCAGAAAACTTTGTTCTTGTTCCAGGCTAAAAATGTGTGCTCAAGTCAGCAGGATATGGAGTCAGCATTGAAAGAGCTCATTTACACTGAATCTGATCTTATCATAACGCCAATCATTGACAATCCAAAGGTATAGCAAAATAAATTATAAGATTCAGGAACTTGTGGGTGAGGCTAGTTTTGCAGATAAATCTTTAAATCAGGGTGAAACTCATTTCCTGTGTTTTATAATTCAAATTTTAAAGCAGTTCCACCCAGTCATCTGGCAAGCTCTCATGCAAGTTTTTAGCTGTCTTTTACAGTCCTATTGTATTGCTAATTTGGAGAATAGAGTTATTTTGGGGTTTTAAAGTAATGTCAAATAATGTCTTACAATAAATAGAATAAATAGAATAAATAGAAGCTATTAAATGCTGTGTTCAGTGGTTTTGTAGATCTGTTTTCTGATAATTTGCTTTAATATCTATTACTTAAATGAAAACAAAGCTGAGTGTGTTTTGGTATAAGGAACACAAAGCTGTCCATGAAGCCACATAGTTCAGGTGTTAAACTCTTCCAGTGCAATTTATGTCATTCTCTAAGTTTTAGATACAATATTTCTAAAAAGCATCTAAAAAACTCGATTTCTCTGGAAAGGAAGACCTGAAGTTGTAAGAACCACAGAATGGCTTGGGTTGGGCAGGGCCTCACAGATCATCTAGTCCCAACCCCCCTGCCATGGGCAGAGTTACCAGGCACTGGATCGCGCTGCCCAGGAACCCACCCAGCCTGGCCTTGAAATCCTTCAGGGCTGAGGCATCCACAACTTCTTTGGGCAGCCCATGCCAGTGCCTCACCACACTCTGAAGAATTTTTTTCTTCTAAACTTCCCTTTGTTCAGCTTAAATCCATTCTCCCTTGTCCTACCACTAGCTATATATGTAAAAAGTCAATCCTCCTCCTCCCTATAAGCTCCTTTCCAGTGTTGAAAAATGCCTCAGGAGTAAGCACTGATTTGTACAGCCATCCTGTCCTATTTTTGTGTCCTTGTTTTCATGTTTGACTGCTGAAAAACTTTCAGAAACACATTAAAACTAGTTGTGATGTTGTTTATTTCTGCAGATAATGAAGCAAGTGCCAGTTAGATTTGACTCAAAAGCTTTACATATACCAGCATATTCAGGTATGGCTCTGCTGACACAGAAACGTTCGTTCTGTATAAGGTAGTGTAACTGTTGCAAGACTGTAAATCTTTAAATCTGTAAATTTGTAAATCAGCTGAGGTGAGGGGAGAATTCAGATCTGGTTTTCCTGAAGTTGCAAAAGTTGTGTTCTTAACTAGACCAAAAATGAGTAGAATTTTCAAGTGCTGACAGCTACATATACACATACACACACACACACACACACACACACACACACACACACACACACACACATATATATACCCTTTCTTCTGCCCTTTTATAAGCCATACTTAAAAGCTTTAAAAAACAAGACAGCCAACTTTTCTTTAGCATGGAAAAACAGAAGTTTGTTTGTTTGTTTGTAAAATACTGAGGTATTCAACCAGATTAAGATTTGACAAAGTTAAGGAAGCAAAAGAAAACAGGATGTTGAAAAGCGTAGTGTTGATGAGCTATAATACTTGATAGCCTGGCAGTCTTGTATGTAATTGTGAAATGTTCCCAATGGACAGTGTAGATTAGTGGATACTTTTTTGTTTTGTCGTGTTTTTAACCTCAGACAAGTCTATTATTTATGGAAACTATTTCCTCTGATATATTTTGGGTAGTATTGTTTGGCTTTAGAGTGCTTGAAGAGGAATGTTAGGCAAGTAGTTACTCCTAGAATTCAGATAGCACCTCTACCTAAACAAAGTTCCTTGTTTTTTTCTTTCCCTAACAAACTGACTCTCCATACTTTAAAGGAATTCAATAGTTGGAGAAGAATAGAACGTCCCCTAAACAAGATTGTAGTAACAAAAAACATTCTGGATTTGGCAAGAATGGCCACGTTCAAATACCTGAGCAAGTGCTGTTACATTTAATTTAGTGTTCAAGCATCCAAACTATCAGGCAGATATTCTGATGTGTTTAGCTGTTATTGTCTATATTTATTTAATAAGGGACAGGTGTTTTTGTTTTTTTTTTTCTGTGGTTGTAAATATTCTATGGTTATAGCTTTTTTTTTCTGATTTCTGAGATAATGAATTTGGTGCTGCTTATTGACACTTTTTCTGTACCATTAAAACAAATATGGAGTAAAAGATGAATACCTGAAATTCATACTGCCTTTCACCTTTGCTAACGTGAACTGTTCATTAGACAGTGTTACTTGCATATACAATAGACAGAAAGGATGTCCTTAGATATTCTGTATTGGAGCACACCAGGATGGCAGATAAGTTTTTAGTAAGTTACTGACCAAAACTGTGATTACTAAGGTGAACTGAATTTAGTCCTTGAGACTGATAAGGAAGTATTTGGGAAGTTCAGTTCCCATACAGTGATCAGTGAGATGATGATTACGCTCGTTCTCCTGGCGGCTGTTGACTTGTATTCCTCTTGAAGTCATCTGTGTTCAGTTACTCTTAAGGTTTAACCAGATGGGTACCTGTCTATATGAAAATTAATCAGTATTTTAGGTTTGTTGCAATTGCTTCTGAGAGAATTTTGATGACATTCATTAGTTTTTACCTCAACTTTGCTGTAAAGAAACAGTGTGAAATATTGGAATTCTAGTTAAATTAAAATTTTCTAACTTACTTATTCATGCTGATGTTATTTCTAGTGTATTAAAACAACATAAAAGATCTTTAACTGCTTGTTTGCTTCTTGTGCTAGCTGAGAAGTTGTCATCTCTGAAGGATGTGGACTGGAATGACTTCTTGCACCAAGCATGTTTGTTGCTTGATTCCACTGAGAAGAATCCAGGAACAGCACGTTCTAAACTGAATTTACTGTCTTACCTCTGTACTGTGGCTGGCCACAAGGAAGCTGCAAGCAGGCTAATTAACTCTCAGCTGGTAAATAATAAAGTTCTGAAGGAATCAATATGGTTTATGTAGCGTTGGCATTGTAGCAAAAATTGGCTGCATTTAGTTATATTTAAAAAGCAAAACAACGACAACAAAAAACCCTACTGCACCCTAGTGAAGAAAAAAGGCAAGTGAAGTATAAACCAGAAAAAAAAAAAACAAAACCAAAATGTATTGAATTCCATGTCTGTTTTCCTAATGGAGAATTGCTCTAAGTATTATTCTGTTATCACTGGAGAATTATTATTAATTATTTTTACAACAGTCCAATAACTGAATCGCTGATTAGCAGAAGATTTTAGAAATAAGTGCTGATTGTGCATTAACTCTCAATTCATTATGTTAGCATTTGACAACTATTTCACTTCTGAAGTAATTGTTTGATAATACTGTATGAAAATCTATTTTTCAAAATGAAAGCATCAGTTTTTCCATTGTATGGTGATACTCACATAGAAAATAATGCTCATTTTCATAAGCTGGTATATGTTTATCAGTTTGGCTTAAGGGAAGAATGTTGGGAAAAATGCCATTTTTACATTCAGGAATTCTGTCCTTAATTGATTGTTGGGCAATGTCCGCAGTGGTATTTTGTTCTTCTATATTTATCACTGGAATGCATCAGATCACTCTACCATTCATATTTGCCTCTCTTCTTCAAATTATAGTTTCCAGTGTTAATACAGCAGCTGCGTGCCGCCGCCAACTGGGATATGTAAGTAACAATTATTTTACATCAATTTCTTCAAACGTGCTATTATTACTGATTTTTATTAGGATGTACTTCTTCACAGTTTTTGAGGAGGTTTTTTTTAGCCTTTCAAACCACTGTGGTACTTGATTGGCAGTATGAGGTAAGTAACATTATTTTTCTGTGGTTTTTTTTTTGTTTTTTTTTTTGCCATTGTATTAATATACTGCACTTTTGTGAGATCTAAGCTTATATTAAATGTCTAAAATTCTACCTGGAAGCCATATGACTTACTGTGTCAAATATTATTATTTAAATTGCTGAATAAACCAAGCCGTTCCATAATGATAGGAAAATATTTCTAATGATAGCTTTTTTAAATGTTAGAAATATTTGAAGCTGGTAGTGCCCTCTGCTGCTCATTTAATAAGTGTTGATATTACTGCTTATTTTTTCTTTAATGAAGCATTTAAAGCTGATTTGCTGCAATACATTTATTTTTTTGTTTTGTCAGCTGTACTAAAATGTTTATAAGGATCTGTTGGGGGGGGTTCAGTATTTTAAGAAAACTGAGTGGGAGCATGGCTGATTGTGACGACTGTAATAAACTAAAGAATCTCCATTTTTCGTTGCTGTAGGGTAAAAACGTATCTTTTTGCATGAATTTATTGCTAAATTAAGCTGAACTACAGACAGAATAAAGTAGTACATTTAAAAAAAAAAAAAAGACAAAATTCACCTGTAAATAGCACTTAAATAGTTCCTGCCCTTAGTGATCTAAGTGATCAAAATAGATGTAGGCAGGAAAAAATTGTTTTTGTCATGTTTTGGAAACAGTTCTCCTTTACCTGAAAAAAATGTATTTCATATGCAGACGTGCTAAAGTGGCTCGAGTGATTGGTTTGCTGGCACTGCACACATCTGAGCTTGGAGAAAACATACCTGTGTCTGAGGTGACTTTCCATTTCATTTTTTTAAAATGTTATTAATGCTTTTACTTGTATGTCAGATTTTCGCTGCTTTGTTTCCTCCATATGTGAAAATTTAATTCAATTAAATACATAAACCTGCGTGTTCATTCTGTGTAGCTGTGGCTGTGATATTTAGAAAACTCTGGGAATGCTGGAGTATGAAAAATTGCAGCCTCTTTTTCTTCTCCTTTACAGAATATCCAGTAGTCACTGTTGTACTTGTGTTTTGTGTGTGTCTGTACAAAGAAAGTGTTGACATGTTTTGCTATGTGGAAGTGCAGTCACTATAAAAATAGTACAGCTGCTTCTTACAGATCTTTTTTTTCCCTCTAGAAGAAGTAATGGAGTTGGGACTCATTTGAGATTTCTCTCAGTTCTTAAGGAATGTGTATAATGAAAAGTCAAATGATTTTCTATGGAGATGAAAACAATTTTGAATTTTCTGTTCATTTTGTATTCTCAGCAGCTGACTCAAACTGAAGAATAATTAACAGATCTTACTGGTTGTTGTTTTTTTACATGTGATACATACACACTGCACAGCATAACAGTATCTGCTTTTCAATATCTGTTTAAGCTGTGAAGCTGACCTTGTTTTTGCTCTGTGAGATACAGTCAGTATTTGAATGTGAGAAATCCAACTACTTGTGCCATTTTGCAAATACAAAATGCAGTAGTTCAGTTAAAGTTCCTTCAAAGACCATTGAGTCCATCTGTCTGAGCATGTCATAGCTAACCATAAGCTAAGGCATGTACTGGGGGCATTTTCCAGGTACCTTTTGAACACTCATAGGCACAGAGCATCAGCCACCTCTCTGGGGCCTATTCCAGTGTTTTACTATCCTCATGGTACAGAAAATTTTCCTAAGTACCCAGTCTGACCCTCCTCTGGCCCAGCTCTATGCTGTTCCCGTGTGTCCTGTTCTCAAAAACCTGGATGAAAAGCCCAGCACCATCCTTTGCTTGCTGTAGAGAGCAGTGAGATCATACGCTTTCATACTGTGCAGATCTGGTATGTAGCAAATGCAGTTAATGGTTAATAGTTAACTTTTTTGGCAGTAGACTTAAGGAGTCTTTTTTTTTCTTCTTTTTTAAGGTCCCAGTGTGTTAGTTTTTGTTGTTTTTTTTTCCCCTCTTACTGAATATTGCACCTTGTAATTTCATTATCTAGAATAACTACGGTTATTTTGCTTTTATAGGAACATAAAAGTCGTTTCCAAATATACTTCAGCATTTTTAGAAATCTGCCTCTGCTTAAAAAAAGCAGATTAAATGTGTTGCCAGTGACACCGAGGGACTAGAAACAAAAATTAGTTCTCAGTATCTATTTGACCCCATTCATATATGAATTAAAATTAACTTATATGCTCTGATTAGGAAAATAATGGATTTGAGTTACAGTGTTGTTCAAAAGGTGACTGCTGTGCTTGCTGTAGTGGCAGTTATTGCAAGTCTTCTTCTTAAAACAATTTATCACTGTAAAAATATTTTAGAATGCCTACAAGACTAGAATTAGGAAAAAATATTCTCATATCTTCAGTGTTGTAACTTCTGGTCTACAGTCTTGATTCCTGCCCTCAAGCTGCTAGAACTGGATGAATAGCTGGCTTATCATTCCTTGGAACTGTCAGCTATTGCATATTGTGTAATGCTTTTTTAAAAGTTTATTTTCTTATTTCTTAAAAAAAGAAAAAGCAAAACCAACTAATTTTGAACCACATTGTATACTGTAATAAAATATACTATATTTTATCCTCTTATATGAGCCGACTGATGCTCTGGCTGAAGTTTCTTGATGGCTGATGTAATTTAGGAAAAGTCAAGATCAAGCTGTGATTAGTTAGAACGTAATAATCTAAAATGATTTTGTAATCCAGTTCTTAAGGACTTCAATCTGTAAAATACAATCCTTGAACTGTAAGCCCTATAAGAAAGTCCTTTACTGAAGTGAGCTAAGGTTGATGTGATCGTCTTGGTCCAGCGGGCTAATTTAGCTTTTCTGTAGCATGGAGGCAAATATGGGAAATGTGGAGAAGCACAGAGGAGTCATGCAGGTACGTACTCCTGTTTCCGCTCTATGCCTCCAGCAATAGGCATCTCTAGGATTTCCTGAGCCAGGTATTTGAATTTATCTACTTGTCCTCTAAGCCCTTTAAAGGTTTTATCATCCATGGCATCCATTGGGAAGAGACTGCGCAGTTAAACAATATGCTGTGTGAGGTAGCATTCATTTGGTGTGAACTTGCCCTTGGTAGGATCATTCTGAGACCCATTGGTTCTTACACTACATACGAAGCTCAAACTTTCATGTTCATCTTATCTGTGGCAATTATGAGATATGATGGGATGCTTAGGGCTTGATGTTTGGTTTTTTTTTGCTCATCTCTATTCCAGATAGAATTGTTCTAATGTTATTAGCTCCTCATGCTGAAGCTCTTAAAATTTTGTTGATCCTTCTTGCCATTTTACATTCTTTTTCCAGATCCCAGTTTCACCTTTTTAAGGCTGGGGACCAAGACTGCTTCCTCTAATAAGATGCAGACACATAAATGGTCTATCTAACGGTAGCTGATTTTCTATTTACCTCCCATTCTGTTCTTAGTAACTGCTAACAATTTTTCTTTTTTTGACTGCTGTTGAGCAGACTTCATCTCTGTGAGCCCCTTTCCTACAGCCTAAGTATTTCTGTTCCCAAATACGAAGTCGGTTCAGAATTGCATGAAAATGCAGAATTGCTGTTGCCCTATGCATGCTGTGCTGTGTCTACTAAGTTTTCTTTTCCATTATTATTGCAGCATTACAATCCCTTTATAGTGTTGTTACTTCAATATTCACTCATTCAGTTGTTTGTGATTTCTTTTGTACTTTTAGAAGTAGTAGGGGACCTCAGAGAGACTCATGCAGGACAGCAATGCTGACTGTTTCCTGTTAAAATGTTTCTTTGTATCTACCCTTAATTTCCTGGTTTTTACCCAGTTATGCCTTTATTTGAGGACATTTCCTCTATTTTTGAAGTTAAATTGCACCATTCATCTTTTGTTTTTGTTGTTCAGATGGCTTGTTAAATAGCAGCAATGATGAGCTGCAGAAGTAGAATAATTTTAGGAAAGAAAAGAAGCCTCGTCCTTACTTCACATAGTAAAGTGAATGTGCTTTGTGCCAAAAGGCTTTGATTTGTTGCCCTTTGAAGAATTAACAGTTGTCCTCCTCCTTCCTACCCCCTCCCCCCCCGCCAAGGAAAAGAGATGTTTTTAAGGCTCTCATTATTACATACGTAACCACTAGAGGTCAGTAAAACACAAAAATAAAATGCAAGTCTGCTACTGTTTCTCACAACATCATGTGCTGGAAAAGTCTAGATATATATATGACAGTGGAACTGCGTATGATTTTGATTCTTCTCATATATGCTAAATCTGCTGATATATTTTAATGTGAATTCATTTGCACTTGGTCTATTTCCAATTAAATGTATTTTAGAACAGTGCTACGGTGAATAGAGAGACTGACCTCAGAATATAAAAGAGAAATTGATCTCTTGTACATTTATTCTTCAAGTCAGAATGAAGACATTTTGTGCAATTTCTTTTACCTGGAAGTTGCAATAAAAAATTGTTGAGGCACTTGCTGAAGATTAGTTGCTTTCTGATCTACTAATGGTTGAGTTTTTTGGTGTTTTTTTCCTATGGAGTCGCCTTTTGCAAATCAGAAATATATATTTTTCTTATTTTTTCTTAGTTATCTTGGTAAAAGAGCTAAAGCTTCCTACTTAGGGTTTGAAACTGGTTCTTGCAGAATTAACTGCTTGTGATTAGAAAAATCTGCTTACCCTTACTTTTGTAGTTAGAGAGCTTGCTTCTATGTATGTCTAATTTATCTTATTGATGACAAGAAACTGTTGTTCTTTCCTCTCTGCGCATATGTAGTGTTTCCCTCTGGATAGGCACATCTACTGTGATGTAAATCTCTGCCTTCTCCTTGAGGATCAGTGAAATAAAAGGTGATCATGGAGGAATCTCACCAAATTTTTTTTGTCAGGGAGCAGCATCCTTCTTTGTCAGGTATAGGACCAGTTTTCCCTCACTTAAGGAATCACTTTCTGTTCCCCTGCTTTTTGGAGGCAAAATCTTTCTTGTTGTTTCTCTCTTTGAAATCTGAGTGGAAATATCAGTCTCATGCTATGACCTAGGCAGCTGTGCCTTTTAACCTACAGACATTGGTCCATTGCTTTGCTGTGAGAGGATTTGGAGACCCTGCTACATAATTTTCTCACCTGCGAGTTTCTTTGCAAAGCCTTTGGCTTATGAAACTCCATGGGCAAATTAATGAACTTGATATTCCATGTAGAATGGCAGAGTGCCTCTAATACTGAGATTAGAACTTCATTCTTTTGTGAAAGCAATGGAGTATCCTGATGTGTTTTTATCCAAGTTGAAACTGCATATAACTTGAGCCTTTTTATTTCTCATTCTTGTGGTACAATTTGCTAGTTGTTCTGTACAACTTACATTGCATAGCTGCATCATTATAAGTTCAGCTTTACAGTTCCTTTTTCTAACTAGTCTGAGTCCTACTTTTGGAATAGGTATACAGTTTGTTCTCATTAAAATTCTCATACAGTGGTGACTTTAAGTCCTGTTCCTGGCTTCTCTCTGATTATTCCTGTTTCTAGGCCTATCCACATCTGCCTGTACTCTGAGGAGATTCAAATTAGAATAGAAGGTTTTATTTGAACTTTTATTCCAACCTCTTTAGTTTTGCTATTTTTATTGTAAAAGGCTTATTGAAATCTGCTCACAAGTGATCATATTTGAGTTTATCCTTGTCTGTTTCCTCCAATGGCATTTATCTTAACATACACTGTTTCTTCTTATGCAAGAATAATACCAATTTAAAAAAACACCCAAGCTTTAGGAAATAGACACAAGCTAATGATAAGCTGTATCAGGGTATATGCATAGGAGGACTTGCAGATTAGCATA